GGCACTAAGTTTTTGAATGCTCAAAATCAACCGCACTGAGAACTTTTTGAAAAACGATATAATTAAAAAACTTTTCGCTGTTCCACGTTCCATCGCCTTTTACTTTAGCACCGGTCAATTTTTTTTCGAAGCTTTGAATGACATGGTGTTTTCATCCTATAACTGATGTATTGCAAGTGATGTAAATCTCAGCTTGGCCAGTGCGTTAAAATTGAATTTTCATTTTATCAAAGCCTCACACAAGAGCAGATTCAACGTTTGATAAACATCTTACTACAGAGCTGACTTAGATGATCCAGACAAAATGAGTAAAATCACTGCATCTGGATTTTTCAGTTATAGTCGACTATAGTTTAGTGTCTGATAGCTTTTTTGGTGCAGAGCTATCGTCTGTGTTAAGGCGAAAAGAATCCTAGTCCGATCAGAATTTCTACTTCTGTAAAATGAAAAGTTTTTGGTGAAAGACTCGGACTATCGTGTTTGGTTACCTCTGTCGGTTTAGTTAACTCGGTGCGCGATTTCTTATTATTTAAGCTTTTTTTCATTGTTGAAAGTCATTTTACGTTTTACTCGAATGGTCCAGGTAATTGAAAAACAACATTTTTTTTCCTAGATTTTTTTAATCTAAGATTAATGAGCACTTTTTTGAAGATATGTTTTTTGTCCTTGTAGTCACAGGCAAGCAATATATGGGTTGTCACATTTAAACTGAGCTTGGATGTGATTTTTAAAAACTTTATGTAAATTTGAAACATGGCGCAGTTCAGTTCTTAGCGCTGGCATATATTTTGCATCGAAAGCTATTTGTTTGGCTTTTAGAAGCTCATTTTTTTCGTATTTCTCGTTCAAACAAATGGGGTAAATGTGGACTCGACTTATGGGCAAAGGTTTGGTTCAAATACGCTTCAAAAATGCTCTATTTTACTTAAACAGTTCTAAGATCTTTTTCGTCATTTATTCTAATTTCATCAATAATTGGTGTTGCTGTAGTTTTTAGCCCCGAGGCAGCGACAAATCCATTAGAATTTTTAAAAAAAATGGTCTTCTGGTGGGAACAGGTAAAAACGTGTTAAAACATCACATGCCACATTTCATGTTTTAACCTGGTCCCACCAGAAAACCATTTTTTAAAAGAAAAATGGATTTGTCGCTGCCTCGGGGCTAATAACTACAGCAACACTTATTATTGAAGAAATAGAATCAATGATGAAAAAGATCTTAAAACTGCGCAAGGGAAGGACAGTGGGCTGAAGGTCAATTCGAGTCAGGTGCGTTTTCAGGAAAATACTCTATCCGGATCTCAACTGTGATAGTGTCCTCCTTATGGAGCCAGGGAGGGATTCTTTGGCGGGGAAGATGTCAGATGGTCTGAGGGACAGACTTCTGTGGGTGGTTCATCAGATTTGGCCTGCCTAACTCTATCTGTGTTGTGTGTACTTGCTTTTAAAATTTAAAAATTATTCATAGGAAACAACTTCACAACCTTCACAAAAATGTTTAAAGGCGTTAAAGTCTTAGTTTTGGCTAGAATAACGTCAATCTCGGGAGCGACTAAGTCAAGCAGCAAAGTGCGAATATTCCGTCGAGATTTGGGCTAATTCTGCTAAAACTGAAAGTTTTGAGGTCACATTGCGACGCCAGTAGATGGAGGTCCACGTTTCAAAGTTATTTTTTTAAATATAAATGTCCTATTGCGCTCATCTTCGTGCACCCTGTTATCAGGCGAAGAGAAGTTTTTCGAACTGTTTGCAGTTTGTTTTAAGTTGCTTTATTGGCTGCGTGGGTCCAGACGACTCTCATATTCCACAATTGGTCTTATCAAGGCTTTAAAAGTATCTAGTAAAGTTTCTTTGGACTGATCCGAGGAAGTGCCGGATATAACCCTCAAGATTGATATACTGCGCGCGGCTTGACTGCATGTTCATTTGCATTGTTAAGCGAAAATTGAGGGGCGGTTCGATGAAGGAACCAAGTATTTTGGGATTTATCTTGAGGGACAGTCTAGCGCTTTCATTTCTACATTCGTATCGGTGTTAAAATCGTTATACAAGAAGAGAAAAAGGCTGATCGAACTTTCAGAAGAAAATGCAAGGGACCTTGTGCTAAGAAGTTGTAAATCAATTTAGTGCTCGGGATCAGACAGCCTTGACACCCACTCAGGTAGTTTGACAACCACTTACTTAGGCTTTCCGGCACGCTGGTTCCTGATGCCATGAAGATCTAGGAGAGTGCAATGGCTGGCAATGTCCGAAGGTTTTGATAAATGAACTGTGGCCAGGACTGTCTTAATTGGAGGCCTTTGTTAGTTAACACCGTTGCTGAAAAAAAAGGAAAAATGAGAAAGTGATGTGATGGTTGAATGCATGGGACGAAAACTTTGTTGATGATCAGCTTTCGGTAGGAATATTGTTAGGATGGGGGGGATAAAACATTCTAAAATTTTGACAGCTTGGCCCAAAATCGAGACTGGATGGTACGACTCTGACGATTCGAGATCTTTGTTTGGTTTCGGCACCACTGTAGATTGTTTTCCGAACTTGAGGCTAATTTTAAGGGCTTTGCTCTTACCTGCTCTTTGAGCTTTGTCACTTGTGTGAGTTTTCAATTTAGTATGTTGAACCCTAAAAGCATTTTCAATGTCCAGAAGTTTTTGTCGAGAGTTTTTTGGTAAAACTAATTACGACAAAAAACAACCGCCGTGAAAGTTCTTGTTAAAACTATTTGGGTGGGTTCCTACCTGGCTGCCTTTAATGACAAAGAACACTCACCCAAATTTACTAAACATGTGTTGGTTAATTGTCTGGAGGCTTTGTTGCTTTTTTTTCTTTGTCTTCAAAAGTTTCGCTATGATCTCTGTTGAAAACATGTTAAACAGTTTCTTTGTTTCTTCATTGTGGCTTGGAACAAAGAAAGAAGCCAGCCATTTGGAATACGGTGAAGTGCTTTAGGACTCATAAGGTCTTGAAGCCTGTTCTGCGGCATTTATATCATGCTACAATGTTTTCTTAACTAAAAACTTAAGTTTCCTTGGTAAAACTTTCCTGTCTGCCTTTTTTAAAAATAAAACTAGCAGTTTTGCGAGGAGCAAACAGTATAACTGTTGCAATTGGAAAGATAGATTTAAATTGGGAGATGAGCATAGCTTTAAAAATGTGCCAGTAGAGTTTTAATAAAATGAAATACGAGGCCATGGAAAGATCTGGGGAGGATATTGACGTATTATTATCGTATAGGAGCCTTGTTTGATGCCGATCGTTTAGCGGGCTAAAAGTATATTCGATTTTTTTGGTTCCGACTCTGGCCCCACGTTGGTCATCGGGGATATTGGAGTACCACAGAAGGGCGTGGGAATTAGCGTCACCGGGAAGATACTGTTTTCATCAGATAAGTTTTTAATTTCATTGGAGCAACTTGAGCGGGGAGGGATAGATTAGGTAGAGATAGAGAGCCCATCGAGAGAGTAAAATTTTTCAAGTTAAAATTTTTTATTGAAAAATTGCGATGCGGATATGGTACTATCGCATTGTCGTCCGTAAAGTTCTTTGTGTGCGAGTGGAGCAGGTGAAGGGAACTTGGTTAGGGTTGATGCCGGTTGATGCAGCTTGAATTGAAGTGCTTATATATAAATATGTATATTGTTTGTTCATTTCCTTCGAGTAGCGAGTTTACATCGACAAAAAATTGTTTGTTGCTATCATCTTGCTCTTGGACGCTTTTTTGTAGTTTCTGGTTTCGCTTTTTGGATGAATTGAACCTTTGAATTGGTTGACTTTGAGTGATCGACGCGTTTCTTTTTATATTAAGTTAGCCGGTTAGTAGCATCTTGAATTGAATTTTGTCATCGCTGGAAGCCCGTTTAAAAGGTTTGCTGGGGTTTATTACGTGATCTTCTGATTACCGAGATGCATGTTATATATAACGCTGAGTAACGGTAGGAAAGGGTCTGGTTCAGCTAATGAAGTGTAGACTTTTTTCTGTTGTGCTACAACTATTATGTTGCGTGAGCGTAACGTTAGTATCCTGCCGGGTGCATTCTGTAGACTCGCAGATTTTTTCAAATTTTAATAATGGTGTTAATCAAAATTTCGGTTTCAAGTGTAAAGCTTAGTTTTAGTTTTTTTACCACAATCTTACCTAAGCTTCTTTAACATTGTCATAAGGCAATGAAGTTTGGCATGAACAGATTTTTTTTTCATATTTTACAACGTAACTTAACGCATTTTGCCGTAATAACACGTAAAACAAACATGAACATCGATATTTCGAAAACTGGGGAGTGGAAAAGAGTCGGTTTTTTTTTCAATAAACAGTTTTTTTAATCAATAAACAAGTCAGTTTGTTTGTTTTCCTTGTGTTCATCGGCTTTTCCAACTGTCTGTTGGCTATTTTTTTAAATTGGTTCCGCATGGGCTAAATTACCCGAAATTGAAATTCTATGTTATACCGTTTTGGGAACAATAAATAATCTGGAAGATGAATTTCACTTTCTTGTACGAAGTTAAAAAATATATCGACAACTGTCTTAAGTTTCAACGCTTTTTGAAGGTACAGCTTTCAATGGCGCATGGTGTAATAAGCTATCAAATTTTTTTTCGGGTTTTTTCGCCAGCATTTTAAATTTTTTTGCGTTAGAAAAATATGTAAGAATAATCATTTCTAAGGACACAAAAAATGCCTTAAAATGCAGGATTTATTGTTGAAATTTTTGCTGAACAGAATCCTTGAGGCTAGCAAAAAAAATGGCATTCGCAGCGAAAGAGAATTTTGTTCTCAACTCAAAATTGTGGGTTCAAATATAGTATAAGTAAGTTTGTCTCTTGTTTTACTTGTCTCACATTCAAGCGAAGCTCAATTTATATGATAACATCTATTGGGTATTCATAGTGGTACTAGCAACACCTGAACTGCTCCAATCTAAAATGTCAATCAGTTTCATTTGTCACTATTACAACTGCCATCAATCTAAGTCGCCTTCTGCTAATCCATTTCTTTTCAGGTAGTAATTAATGGTCCCCCTCCACCCACTATTCCTTTGCATTATCTACTCCCACGTCAATCCTGAGTAGAAAAATCACCCCCCCCCCCATATTCCTCCGACTCAGAATTCGCATTCGTGTCGTCCTTAACCACTCAAGAGAGTAGATACGGTTCTTGTGAGAATTAGTCTACCTAATGAATTCCCTGTTTGGGAGGCTTTCAAGAGGGGAACTATCGCATAAAGAAGAGATTTGGTAACGTGATTGGTTGTGTGCTGTATCTCTGCTTCTTTATCTTACGTTTTGCTGCTTATTATAATACTTTCCTTTGTGCAATCTTATTCATTCTCTCCCAACCCCCTTCAAAAATATTAATTCTCTCAATTTCTTTTCTCGCGCAGTGGTAGTAAGTAAGCGAGGTGTTGGGATGCAAAAAAGGAGATAATCTACCAGTTGTGTCTATTAGAGTCCTTTTATATTTCTCACTTTTTGTTCTTGACTGCTCGATTAAAACAACAGCCAACATACCAACCAAAAAACGCTTGTGAAATTTCATTTCAAGTCTTCAAGTATCCTTTCTCCACAACGAATAAAGACAAATGAAGTGACGGAAAAAGCTTTAATTAGTCTCTCTATAGACGCCAACACATTCCTTTGTTACATATCAGCTTGAAAGTGAAGAGAGTTTCCTGAAAGTGAAGATGGCAATTTATTGAGTAATATCCTGTGAAATATCATTCCATTTATGTTCTACAAAGAACATTTTATGTGCCTTAGTTATTTTTTTAACTTTTAGTTCACCTGTTGCCCAAATATTCTCTTCCCACTCAGAGAGGCGATGGCTGTGAACTAAGACTATTTCACACAGGTAGCTTACAATTGCATTTTGTTACTAATGAAATAATTATTACATCACAGCACAACTTTGACTCCGGAAAGACAGTAATTGAACGTATTACAGTCGGCTGCGTTTTGTTATTCCCCAGAGATTAAATCAGCCTACTTTGCCTACGGTGATATTTTGACCACATTTTACTTCGTTACAATGGGAAACAAAAAGATTGACAAGACGCTCATTTTCAAGTAAGAGATTTACCTATAAATAGTTTTTATATTTAAAACTTATAAATATGCGATTTTAGGTTTGATCTTGTCAACAACGATAAAATGATATTTTGTTTTCTCTGATATTGTTGAGACGAAGGAAAGTCTCAACCTGTGTCACTATACACTATACAACTTTTTTGCATTTTTTGTGACGTTTCTTCTCTAAGGTAATTATTCAACGAGAATGTAAAACATCTTGGAAAGCAAAAATTTTTAATATAATGAAAAAATAGTATTTACTTTGGGTGGTTTTAGTTCGAAGGTTGGAATGCATTTGGCTAACATGGAGAAGCTGAGTGGGAGTGTGAAGGCCACCAACACTGACGAAAACTTGGACCAGATCAGAGTGCTGGCTGCCAAAATACACCACCTCATTAGCACAAATGGTAAGTCGGGGGGGGGGGGGGGCTCTCTTAAGGTGTCAATTTGTGTGGTGTGAGCGAAGGTACTAAATAGTTTCATAAGTAATGTTTCGAAAAACAGTGGTTTTTAGCACTTTTTTCCAGCTTACCATGGTTGTTGACAATTATTACGCTTGCGATTAGCAAGCGTTATCAAACTGGAATATAAACTTTTTTTTTAGTTAACAACTAGGTTAACTAAATCAGTTGAATCACTTGGTGACTTCTTTTCACTTCTTTTCTCTTAACATCTTCCAGGTTGCTTCCCCTTGGCCTGGAGGTAAAGAAGTTGCCTCTGTTAACGAAGGTCAGGGGTTCGAGTCGTGGCCGGACTTCGTTGTTTCAGTATCAAGGAAATTTTAAAAAAATCCGAGAAAGATGAATTGTTGGTTTTTCGTTTGTTCGCTCAAGTTTTTTCGGCTAAATTACCACAACAGATTTTGCTTGTGCGGTAAACAACTTTGCTTGTAGTTACATGTGCAAGGGTTGTCCATTGTTGTTTAAGGTGGGACTTAATTTTGTTATTTAAAACCATGTTTTTTTCGGCTCAATTTGTGTCAGCTCAAAGATTGTCGGCTTTGTTTCTTTTCGTAATTTTTTTCCGGTTTTGCTGTTTTAAAATTCAAATCTCTGGTATGTTTGTCTGGAATGAACTTCTATCGAGTCAGATGAAAGTTTATATGACCTAGTTTTTTTCAAAATTTTTCATTTCGGCTTTCTATGATCTTTTATTGTTTGTGTTGTATCGCAAGTGATGCGAAGCTCCGCTTCGCCTCTGTATCATGAATTATCATCAAAAATGGGCGAGTATGGGTGCATTTTTAATAAATAATTTCTGTAATGAGCCTGATTCGTAAACGAATTTATTATAATATCGTTGAATTGGTAGCATCCTATCATAGCTTAAGACTGGCAAAGTATAAATTGTGGTGCTGGACTTGTGAATATTTATTTTTTAAAAATCAGATTTCGACGAGAAAAACCAATTATTCGCCTTTATTTGGTTTTTGGTGGTCTTGCATTTCTTTATATTTCTATATTTCTTTTTTCGCTAGGTTTAGAAAAAAAATTTCAAAAAATAAATATTTCGACCGTGAGTCGAAATGTTTCTGATTCCAAATTTCTTCGTAAGTAAATGGTCGGAGAAATAGCGTCATCTTTTCATCGCAATAGCATTACAGTATCTACAACTAAATACAACGATCTATACTTTAATGCAACTAAATTAACGTTTGAGAAAAAAGGTCTTCAAGTTGCTTAGAGTAGTTTGGCCGTCTATACTTTTTTGACGTCTATCGATTAATTACCCGAAACACTCGTGTGCTATAAAATCAATCAACTATATTTTTTCAAGGTTACCTTCTGCTACATGTTTAATTTTTTTTTTCAATATCTCTAAACAGCTCAATTTCGATTAGTCATTTCATGAATCTTCTATTCAGAGCTGTCAATTATTTTATCTCGGTATAATCTTCGATTGAAATTAAATATAACGACACTGATGTAGCCAACTACCCAACTACTTATAATTTTATACAACTAAATTAACGTATTAGGAAAATGCTCTACATGTTGCTTAGAGTGGCCGTCTATACTTTTTTGACGTCTATCGATTAATTACCCGAAACACTCGTGTGCTATAAAATCAATCAACTATATTTTTTCAAGGTTACCTTCTGCTACATGTTTAATTTTTTTTTTCAATATCTCTAAACAGCTCAATTTCGATTAGTCATTTCATGAATCTTCCATTCAGAGCTGTCAATTATTTTATCTCGGTATAATCTTCGATTGAAATTGAATATAACGACACTCATGTAGCCAACTACCCAACTACTTTAATTTTATACAACTAAATTAACGTATTAGGAAAATGCTCTACATGTTGCTTAGAGTGGCCGTCTATACTTTTTTTGACGTCTATCGATTAATTACCTGAAACACTCGTGTGCTATAAAATCAATCAACTATATTTTTTCAAGGTTACCTGCTACATGTTTAATTTTTTTTTTTCAATATCTCTAAACAGCTCAATTTCGATTAGTCATTTCATGAATCTTCTATTCAGAGCTGTCAATTATTTTATCTCGGTATAATCTTCGATTGAAATTAACTATAACGACACTGATGTAGCCAACTACCCAGCTACTTATAATTTTATACAACTAAATTAACGTATTAGGAAAATGCTCTGCATGTTGCTTAGAGTGGTCGTCTATACTTTTTTGACGTCCATCGATTAATTACCTGAAAAACTCGTGTGCTATAAGAGCAATCAACCCTATTTTGCGAGGTTACTTTCTGCTACGCTTTCAATTTTGTTTAGTTTGAATATCTCTAAACAGCTCAATTTCGATAAGTCATTTCATAACTCTTCTATTCAGAGCTGTCAATTATCTTATCTAGGTATAATCTTCTATGAAAATAAATATATCGACACTGATGTAGCCTAAAGAGTTTTATATAGATTATCTTAGGTAATCTACAAAAAAAAACGGCTGTTGTCTGCCGGCTTTTTAGCAGACAAATTGTTAGCATCAAAATTGAAAACATGCAGCAATAACGAAGATATATTTTGAGTGCATAATCATGATACGCGCATTACATCTATTGTTTTTGTGTCTATGGAGTTAGTGTAATTCATTTCCTCATTTTTGATGCAAACCCAGTTGCTAAGTGTTTCAAACTACGGTGACTGACTGGGTGAAGCTTATGACTGTGACGTGGAAACGAGGACTCGAATACCGTCTTACTTTCGTCTCCTACCCTAAATCAAATGTTGCACTTTTTGTTCCGACCATTGAAAATGGGGAGGAACTTTGTCTTCGGGTGTGTTTTAGTTTTTTTTTGTTTTCCACGCAAAATCAGACACCGCAAATAATCATCGGACTAAGTTGAGTTTTATATCAAATCGAAGCCATTTTAGTCGTAATTCGAAGGACATGAACAATTCCGGAAAATTATCCTAGAGCCGAGAAAAAACCGGTTAAAAATTTTTGCCTTTTCGTCTAATTTCAAGCCCTGAAAAACTTTGGAATGGAAAAGTTTCGCAAATTTCTGCCAAAAAAAATTTCACTTTTTTAATTGTCATTTTTTGAAGAAATCTGTTATCCAATATGCCAACTTTACTATGAATATCAGAAATACCTAAAATCTAGTCTGTCGTCTGATCTTTTCATCACACCACTCACAAAAAAGAAATTAATTTTTAAAAAATTTTGTAGGTTAAGAATATGGTGGGAACGTTCTGTGCTACTTGCACAGCAACCGGCATCCTTGTTGTATAGACGTCTAAGGCTGATGATGGTTGTGTAAATGTGTCTTGTTTCAGAGAAGTCCAAGCAGGACTGCATGACGAAAGCTGTCGGTGGAGTGGCAATCATCATACAAACACTTCAGGTGCACACATATCCCTTTTTATCATAACATAGCTTCCTTTTTAACCAAAACGTGACTGCTCAAGTCACCTCCAAGTCTCAAGTCACCTCAAAGAAGAAATAACAACGGGTTAGGCGAAAGTTTCAAATTAATAGCTGTTTAGTCCGCCAATTAAACCGCTCTCTACAATTGACACCAACAGAATCATATGCTGTTAAATAAGCTGTCATACGAATAGCGGACGCTATCTTAGCAATGAAACATTGCCGCAGTTTCGCCCAAGAACACTAACTGATAATGTTTCACAAATAGTTAGATGTTATCTTTTAGGGACAGTACTCTACTACCTTTCTGCGCACTTGTTAAATCGGAAGATCACGAATGAGAACTGCTCTTTCTTACCATCAAACATGAAATATAAGTTCACGCTTACGCAGGCAAACAAGCATTGAAGCTATTCTCGTAGTTTAATCACACAATTGTTGCCCTGCACTGAAAACAGCAATGTCCAGAAAAGGTTTTGGTTTTTGAAGAGTTGATGAACGTCCTGAGACTCTTATATAGGTCGTGATGATTTTTTTTCAGCAAGAGTCTTAAACTTTGTTCTCTCTCAAATATAACTTTTTCGCAGTTTGACTTTTGATTTCTTCTTAAGTTCAGTTCATTTCATTTCCTTTGTTAAAACTAAGGCAAACTCCAATATCGAACAGTAAAAGTGTAAATGTTCCGAAAAAGGCTTCTAGTTCGATTTTAGTTTTCAGATTTTCCAGCAGAATAAAAACTGCCGATTGATCCAGTTTTATCAAAATGAATTAATTTTTGATCAAAAAGTTAGTCATAAATTTGTCTTGAAATTCAATGGGCGTTAACGACTAATTTTTTTCTTCAAGTTCGAAAGTACGATTTTTCAACTTCGTATTTTTTTCTGTGTAGTTGCGTTCATTGACTCTTTTCCAAATGCCTGTTGACTATGTGTATGTTTGATCTGTTTTGAGTAAGCAGATTTGAAAGAGGGATCACTTAAACAAACGCAGATGAGAAATGTTGTGTGTTTCTGTTGTAGAACTGCACAGATCAGAATGTGTGTGAACAGCTAGTGAAAAGCGTGACTGAGTTGTCCCATAACATGAAAAGAGCGAAGGACTTGGTCGCTATGGGCATGATCCCGCCTGTGCTCTCATGTCTCACCAGGACTTTCAACAGCAACTCCAGTTCGCAGGCACTACTTGTGGCCATACATGAGTTACTGGCTAAATTGGGACCCAAAGGTAGCTTAACATACATGTAAAAGTGTGATCTCAAAGTGTGCTATTTTCAATGAAACTTTTCATAATTATCTAAGAGTAGAGTAGTTTTAATTGATACTTTTCCCGTAAAGTCTGGTGTTATGGGCTGCTCGTATCGGATCAGACTGGTTACACTGAAATATCGGTTTTCGACCATAGTCCAATTGTACTCTATACCATTCTACCCTATACTATTCTACCTATCAGGAACTATATACTAAGGAACATATTAGGAATTTATTTTTTGGAAATCGGAAGGAACTCGGTATTTAGAAAGCAGCAAGAATATACAATTGTCCAACTAAACTATAATTCAACTACAACTGAATTGAATGGTGTAGAATAGGTGAAATAACTTTTTAGCTCTTGCTCATTTAAGGAGGAATTTAAATCAGAACGCGTTTCTACGGACCGTATATTTTTCTTCCCGTACCTTGTTGCCCGTATACGGGAAGGGAGAAATTAGCTAGCGCGTTATTCACATCGATTGAACAGCTCTGAATTTTCATTCAAATCTTGAAAAAGCTGTTTGAATAGATCTCACACAATTTTTGGGAGTACCTGCAAAATTGTTACACATAGCTTGATAACGAGAATAAGACTGTGATTTACGAACATTCTTAACCATGACATTCATCCAAACGAAAGTTACTGTTCAAAACCGACTTTGGGTTAGGAAGTGAAAAGTATTCAAGAGTTGATAAAATTCAAGTTCCAAACTTTTAGTCAATGTCTTAGATGCTTACACAACGAAGCGTAGTGAGTTTTGACCTAATGGTTATACTCATAGAGTAATTTTAGATAAGGTACACCGTCTGCTCGTCACGCTTTCGGCCGCTTTCATCTTATTTTCGGCCGGATAGATTCGTGCAACTTCTTAGTCTAATACCAATCTTAATCTTACTCTTATATCTCCTAGTCTCAATAGATCTAATGTACACCGGTTTATGCGAGTTAGTTTCCAGAATGTGAACAACTGTATTCTAAGCTTAATTCAAATTGTTCTGGTGCTGAAACTACAAGTAGTTTCAGCACTTTTAAGTAAGTGGGTTGTTAGTTTGATGGAGTATGATTGGTTAGTATTCAATATTTTAGAGATGAAATATCAGAATAATATCCAATAATAAATTCTAGTTTAGATCTGGTTCCACCGATCCGGGTTTTACAGATTTAAGTTCTTCAGTGTTCTACTGTAGTGGAGGATGGACGATGGTGTCTTTCTTTAGAAGTTGCAAGCATATTCTTTTTTCGTTTAGGAAGAAGGATTGTTATCACAATCGTTTCGGGAGATCGTATCATGATTTCTGATTGGTTGTGATGAGTGTTGATTTGGTTGATTATAGAATAGCAATGTTCCAATCTCGTTCGGAAGTGGCATGTAGTTTGACTTTGGGTGAATTGCCTGGTGACTTGGATCTGTACGTATACTTGAACATCGAGATGGCCATTGTTCTGTTGCAATGGGTTTCCTTTGCTGCGATGCCAAGTCGTTTTTAAAATCCTTTGTGTAGTGACTGTAGGCAGCATGTAGGGTGTGTTTTGCCATTCCGTAGTTGAAGTGTGATTGGGTTGTCAAGTTCCTTGCTGCTCGTCTTTGGGCGGTATGTAATCTATATACTGCATTGTATTATTTACAGATACAAATCTTTGTTAATTTTGTTTTTAGTTATTATCTTGTATTAGTTTTTATCGCAAAAGCGTTTTTGTTTAGTTCGGTTATTTGTAAGAGCTACTCACCCTTGAGTAACTCTCGTCAAAAATAGAGTGTGTGTCACAAAGCGTGGGTGTAGCACGGTGGGTTAGGCCGGCTATAGAGCATGCTCAGGACGTCCTCTCTGGTGGGTTAGGCCAGGAGTGGAGTATAAGTTCATGCTCTTTTTTGAAGGGTCCTTTTTGTGTTCAACTTTTCGTGCCTTTTTTTATTACTGTTTTTTTTCTTTTTGGTCTTGGTTGTGTCCTTTTCTTCAAAATTCAAATAGTTTGTTTTGGGTTTGTCTGTCGACTTTTTTGTGTTTTGTTCTTTTGTGTTCAGACTTGAAAGTAGTCTTCAAAAGAACAATTTATGCAGTTATTAAGCTGGTTTTAATCCGGTTTGTGTATCGTGGGTTTTCTTTTCTTAGTCATGCTGTTAGGTTGTGGTTTGTGGTGTTTAGTAAGCTGCGTTGGTTAGTTTGGATTATTATATAATTCCTTTCCAACCGGGTTAAAGGAAAGTTTGAAATGTGTTAAAATTGGTTAGAGTTGTTATCAATGAAAGTTAAAACTTAAATTCATTATTTTAAACAATTCTTCGTGGGCGAGCTGTGCGATTGTGGATAGGATTGTGGGCGAGTGAATATTTAAAACTATAAAGAAGCGTATTTGAAAAGGTTAGTACTGCTTTAATTTTATAGGCGACTTTTATGAAGTTACTACTTTGAAATTTTTAATTTTACGGCTTTATTTGGGGGGTCGAAATTATCAATTTGATTTCATTTTAAGAATATTAATGCATATGGGGAAATAATTTTATATATCAATTTATTGCTGTTTTGGGGGTAAATTTTACTGCTTCATTTATTGTAATTGGTTAATCTAAATTTATGATTCTAGAAAAAAGTTTTGTTTTTTGTTTCGTTTTTTTTTTGTAGATGATTGATGATCGTGCCTGTGAAGACAAGAGAAAAAGAGGAAACATTTATAAAAAATGGTTAGTTTTTGTTCTAATTTGTTAGTATAATTTATTTAATTCATATTACCTTATTCGTCTGTGAAGAATCCATGGGGAAAAACGTCGTGTAATATTTCTGATGTTAGAAATTTAGCTATCAAACGAATGATGTATTTAGTTTGGAGAAGTGGCCAAAGCAACTCGAGTGCTTTATGATTTTGTGCTCTTCAGTGCTAGGTGAGAGTTTATAAGGTGTATTTTAGATGAGGTTATAAAGTTTATGGTTATATCTGGTGTTATGGATGAATTCTAGGATCGGGATTTCAACGGGCTGTAGGAATTCGTGTGGGACGATTAGTGGGCGGGATTCGTCTACGTTGAAGGTTTTGGTTAAGGGACAGAATACATACATCTGGGTGATGGGATCATAATTGCGGAGGATGCCTTGTAGGTTAGTATCTTTAATACAATAAGTGAAGTTAAGAAAGAATGGTGCGCTATATTTGGAGTTAATGTATTGATATCTGTGGTGAATTTGTCGTGCTGGTGTATTATGAGTGTAATGATGTTGGATGAACTTATAGTAAGTATAAGTGTGTGTCTGTTTAGTTCGTAACATGATGTCGTGTGAACAGTGCAAATCACGTTCTTTGGGTGTGAGGAAATGAAAGGTTAGTGAGAAGTTGTTAAGTTTGTTCAAATATGAATCATAGGCTTGAATATCACGAAGTTCTACTGAAATGACGTGGTCGTATTTTTTTAATCTAAAGTATTAAGGGTGAAAACGTATGGTGTTTTAATGAACAATTTTTCTGTTAGTTGTGGGTTAGCAAATTTATCGTAGTTCAGAAAGGTGTCTTCGTTTGGTCTTATGATGTGATGGTCGTAGTGATCGATGGAGTTTTCGTTAGTTTTTGGTGCGGTGAATCTGATAAGTGTTGGTTATATCCGATTTGTGTAATTTTTTTTTGGAGTGAGTGCTGTTGTTAAACGGTAGAGTTGATTGCTGCATTGTTTGTTATCATTTGGGGTGTTATTTAATGGTAGTGATAGTGGATTAGTGAAGTGATAAAATGATGTCCATGAAAGTGTTGGGTATAATACGTGCTCATTAACATAATTAGGGTGTTCGTCATTAGGGTCTGAATGAACGTAGGTGTATTGGGGGGAAAAAGGGTAAACATATTTTAAGAAAATCTTTGGTGTTAGTGTGGAGTGGGTGATTAACAAATGTTGTGGCTGTTCCTGGGTGAGACGGAAATGGAGTATTGGGGAATTTTCTTTTGAAGGTTCGATAGGCTCGGTTTGTATAAGATGAGGATGGATTTGACGAGGGAGTTGGGTTTGGCGAAGGGGTGTAATTTAAAGAGGGAGTTGGGGTTGATGGGTTTGATGATATTATGGATTGTGAAAGTTGGTGAATGGTTAGTGTCTGAGAGTGCTGTAATTTTTGCTGAAGTGTGATAAAATTGTCAAGTTCATGAGATATTGGTGTATTTACAGAGCTGTTGTTGTCTGAAGGTTCACTGGTCAAGGGGGAATATGTGGGTGTTACATTGGAAATAGAAGAGGGAGGGGAAGGATGTTCAAATCTTAATTGGGAGTGGAGAGGTTGAAAAGGAGGTTGGGAAAATGTAGATGCGCTGGGATCGAAGTCGTCAAATTCGTCAGGGGTCTCGAGATCTGAGGTATTAAATTGTGAAATATTATTTTATAGAGTGGTGTTTGAAGAATTAGTATCTGAATCCATGTCGGATGAAGTGTTATCATGAGGTGATTCAGGTGGGGGAAATTAAAAAGTGGTATGACGGGGAGGTTGCTATGAAGGTTGGATGGGTAGGAAATTGAGCGATGGAGTGATCCAACTTGGCGGCTCATCGTGGGCTAAAAAGATGGTTGTTCTGAGAACGAAAGTTAGTGGTTTGTGGTTGTTCTATAATTTGCTCGTATGTGTCTTCTATTTTAGATTGTTGGGTTAGGGTTATTATGTGTTGAATTGGGCTTTGTGGGTAATTAGGTCTTGAAGATATGAGGTCTGTCAGGGCTATGTTTCTGAAACTTCGTGGTACTAATGATGAAGGATGGTTATGGTTTAGGCTTTGTAATTGAGGTACCGTAGGCGTTGTATTCGTATTGTTTTGTGAATCGTTTTGAGGTTCTTTCAATTCTAATATAGATAAATAGCTATAGATAAGTGAAAATACATCGTTTGTGAATATTGAATTTGCTCTTTGTGAGTTTTGATGTTGCATTTTTTTATCTATTCTAAAAAAACTTTTGAAAATTCAATATCTACTTCATCAGTTTGAATGAGATATTTATCATGAAATGC